CCAGTCTCACAGCCAGTCTTCCCTTCTGCTTGAAAGAAGTGGCCCATTACTTTTGTGACCTGGCACCTCTAATGCGGTTGGCATGTGTGGACACAAGCTGGCATGCTCAGGTCCATGTTGCGGTGATTGGACTGATTAACACATGTAACCTTGTACTCATTTTGGGACTCTACGGGGGCATCCTAAGAGTTGTATTGAAGCTGCCCTCTGCTGCCAGTCGTGCCAAGGCCTTCTCCACCTGCTCCTCTCATATGACTGTAGTGACATTATTCTTTGGCTCTGCCTTCATTGTCTATATAGGGCCATCTGAGATCCAGGCTGAGGGCAAGGACAAGCTTATTGCCTTGGTGTATGCCTTTCTGACCCCTTTTCTGAATCCCATCATCTATACTCTTCGTAACAAGGAGGTGAAGGAGGCTGTGAAGAGAGTCGCTGGTAGGATCAGGACTATTTTTAAGGAACCCTGATGAGCTCCATTTTCATAGATTTTTGGTAACTGTAAAAACCAGCTTGTTTAGTCAGCCCTCTAGTGAGAAACCAAGTAAATGTCTGTCAAATAATCAATCAGATCATTTGTCAAACATGTGGCAAACGCTCACTCAAGAGGACCTAGTCCTTGGTTGGTTAAAAGTGGAATATTTAGAAAGAAAGGGAGATTTTATTTCTAAATTCCATACCAACCTAATGGAGAACAAATGTAAAAAAATGAAAGAGGGAGAGAGAGAAAAAAAGAACAGTGCAAACATTGTACCTGAATATATAAACCTTGCTTTGTTGTTGTTGTTGTTAAGTGCCATTGAGTCGGTTCTGACCCATAGTAACCCTGTATAGGATTTCCAAGGAGACTTAGAAGGTCCAAATATATCCAGAAGTGTATCAGAAGAAGGGTCTGGTGCTCTTTTTCTGAAATATTGCCTATTAAAAACCCTGTGGAGCACAGTTCTATTCTGAAACACAAAGTCAAAGACGGCTCAATTGTAACTGGTTTTGTTTTGTTTGCATATCTTAAAGAACAAACACATTACTAAGAAAATGGAAAATGAGACTGAAAGTAGCAGCTTTAGTCAAGAAAGGATTCCTGGTTGAAATCAAACTTGGCCAAAAGGAAACTAAAATAGTACTTTGTGTCAAGTTTCAAATGTGGCCAGGAAACTCATCAGATTGCAGA